TATTAATATTTGCTCCATTGGTAATGAGAGCTTCGACGATATCCGCACGATCTATTCGGAATATAATTCGATTAAAATTAATCTCGTTTTGATATTTATTAAAAATCTCAATCATAGTACGAGTAAACTAAGTAACAGTGATGGTTTTGCGTTAGCCAGCGTTGTCTTAGCCTCGGTGTATACCAACATTTGGTGTACACCAATCGTTAGCCAGCTAACTGTCTACACTGTCTATGTGACTGTGTATGATAGTATGCGTGTGAAAACGTCCAATTCTCCTGACGTGTGTTAGTGCTGGCTTACGCATTCGTTAGCCGGTGTACACAGTGATGGCAAATTAGCCAGCTAATGTGCTCATCACTGGATTAGCCAGCTAATGTGCTCATCACTGCTAAGTAATATGGAAATTAGTATTGAGGGGTCTTTTGTGAAGCAAACCCTATTCAATATGTTACCTTTTGCAATTGCGCGAAGCAATAGTTGATCGTCATTTAGCTCGGCTCCATTTCGAATGAGAATTTTTATAATTGACAAATCGCCTAAAAGTATGATTTGAGGGGAATAAAAGGAGGAAGATCTGTAATAGCGACTTTACTCATGTCTTTAGTAACTTATGCGATGAGAGATAATAATCGGGGAGCGCAAAACGCCTGAAGCTTTACGCACACTACGGCGAGTCGTATTCTTGTCAAAACTTTAAACACTTTACCTGAGTGAAAAACACTTACTGACCAAAGACATTAGTTCAAAAACGCGGTTTCCCGTTTTACTTTCAATTATTTAATTTAAAAAAAACTAACCCCCACTAATAGCCCAATGTAGTAATTCGGCACCATTGTTCTTCACTTCGGCACCATTTTCAATTAGAATCTTTACAATATCCTCTCTTGCTGAAAATGAGAACAATTTAAACAAAGAATGATTAACTATTAACCATTTCGGCGCCTATTCATAATTCCGCAGGAATAATTCCCGCTTATTGGAATAAAACTACTCAAAGGAGTGTTGCCACTTTTTTTATTTTCACGTATGCATAAATTTGAAATTGTTCAAGAATGTTAATTTTACCATTTCTTGAAGCAATGTGAAGTCCTTGCCGATTAAAGTAGTCCTTGGCATTAACTTCGACTCCATTCTCAATAAGACATTTTATTATGTCCAAATTACCTGTGAAAAAACACGAAAATCACCTTTATAGCTGCTTTCCATTTCTTTTTTGAGTTTATTCAAATCAATTAGGTTCATACCAATTTCAACTGCCAAATGAATTGGAAACACTGGATATTCACCGTTTTCATACTTGAAATTAACATTTGCACCATCTTCAATGAGTTTTATAGCCTCTGATGTTTGATCTATACTCAACACAAATAGTGGTTTCAATACAACTCCAAAATTGCAAATATGACGTCACAACTTACTTGTCTCTAAAAAAGTACGTAGTCTGGCCTCTTTGCTGCTTCTTGAAAAATACAAAGTTTAAGAATCGGTAAAATTTCATTTGTTCGATAAGTAAGTCACAAGCAAAACAGAATTTCTTCCGCATTCTTCACAGTTCATTCGCACATTCTTTCGTTAATATTCTCATCACGTTCTCTATTACACACCAAGTTCTTTGACATCATTCAAAATAAACAAACAATAAACGAAGCATTTATAAAATCGAAACGAGTCAAATTACAGGCGATCTTTATATGTGAAGTAATGTCTTTTGTTGGAAAATAATTCGATTTCAAAACGTTTGCAACCAGTTTTTGAGACTTCCGTTGAGTAAGATTATTTTCCAAATTTCATTTATCTATTGAGCAAATACATTGCTCAAAAACTCGTTTTTTGGCATTAGAAAAAGTGCGAAATTACATAGGAGTACATCGCAGATGTTGGTTACCCATTTTTCACTTTTATGTGGACTGATCAACTTGGGTCTGAGAGAGTTATGACATTCAATCGAATCACTTCACTGGTTTTCAAATTGACATTTTTAAAATGGGAACTTCTAGGGGAACTTGGATAAATGTGTACGAAAACAAACGACACTTTTTATAAAAAAAACATTCAATCGATGTTAAACTACAAAAACTTTGTATTTCTTCACAATTTTAGTCAGTAGATTCATGCATTTCAAGAAATATTTACGACGATAAAGTTCTACGGTGTACTTACGACGCTTGTTGTTGTGATTCTGGAAAATAACACAAATTCTATTAAACTAAAAAAAATTGAATGAAATGTGATTGTAAAATTGAGCACTGTCAAACATTTGATGGAATTAATTAGTATCACTTCGTCCAAAAATCAGAATACCTGAAATTGTTCCGGCAATGGTTCCAAAACAAAGTATAAACACCATTAATGTCGTCATTTTTTTTTTTCGAAAATTAATTTTGTTCGGTGAATTCATCCAACAAAAAATGAAACCAATGTGAAGACGTACATTGAACACCGATCACTAAATCGAAATTTGTGTTTGTTCATTCGGCGAACGGTTTGTTTCTCCCACTCTGATAATTTTATTTCTCTTTTGGCTGTTTCAATTGCATGTCGTTTGTGAGTCGCTTATTTATCAAGTTTATTCTTCTGAGAAAAAAGAACGGCTTGTTATATGGTGTGAACGTTTCATTTATGATTGATGATTATTTAACGGATTCAAACTCATAGCTTTGCGTTTTGTATGAAAAGATTAGTGTACTTCAGAAAAATCAGTTAAACATGTAATTACTAGTCATCATTTTGAAATTTTTAGCGGGTGGACAAATAAGTGAGACGGATTATTAAAAGATAGACGGACGGACATCTACATACACCTAAATTATGCCGCCGGAGATCTTCAGAGATGGATTAATCAACAAAAAAAATGATTGAGGTATCCGTCCGGTCTTACCGGATACTGTTCGTCCAACTTATTTTACCGTCCACCAAAAAGTGGTGGGCGACGGACAATTTGTCGCGATGGACGGACAGTATGTCCATCCGGACCTATGGCCGTTAGCCCTTATCTTATCTCGATTTTTAAATGTTTTTAAATTACCTACAATCAATCCAACGAAATATGTGGAAGTATTTATTTTGAAACCAAAGTATTGAACGGCATTGAACGTGCATACAATGTGATGTATTTTTTGCATTCATGATGGAAAAAAACACTTCGACTGCATTCTTTAATTTACACTACTGTCTACTGATAAAGGCTAGGATAAAGGTGATTGTGTGTAAACCATAGAAATGTGCATTAACTATGTTTAAAATGTCATGCATGCGACAATGTTTATTGTATCACTTTAAAAATAACGAATATTACTCATATTTGTGGAATTTTTATGGCAGGAAGAGATTTAAATAATGTTTAATTTTGAGAGGAGTCACAAAATTCGTAAAATCAATCGAAGAGTTCATTCAAAAATGGGTTAAAATTGATTTTTTAAGGTCGATTCGAATACACGTGACAATCTATCACCTACCTTATCTTGAAATCAATGGCTTAAAAGTAAATAGAATTAAATCTAAGGTTTCGTTATTTATGTAAGTACTTTAACTTGCAGTAGTGAACAAATTTCTTATCTAGCGCTCAATTATTGATAATCAATATCTGTATGAAGACACTCAATAGACTCCGTTAGATAGCATTTGGTGTATCAACAATTAACGAAGTTTCTATCACGTCAATCTATCATAACATTTATTTAGTTTTATTGCGTTAGTCAGACGTGCAAGTTATTTAAATAGTGTCATTTTATTAATTTAATGTTTTGACAATTTTTGCGCTTCGATTGTAATTTGTCTAATAAGGTAATAGGAGTGAAAAAATGAAAATAAAATGGATCCTGTGGTTGAATAAGCTGATGAATGGTCATTTGGAAGTGTTATGTATCACTAGTTTCATTATTTCACTCATATTACTTGGGCCAATGTGCATCATAATGCCGATTTATTTGTTGGTAATTGCAAAATTATTTCTTTACACCATTTAATCCATTCGAAGATGATGTCAGGTTGGAAAATTGTTGTTTTTTTCTCTTAAAATTCCAGATTTTCGGAAATATTTATTGGAAAACTGCTTTCACGTTGTATTTCGCGTTCTATTTGTATGACATTAAGTCGGGCGATCGTGGTGGACGAGGTGCTGGGGTGGCCTGGATAAGAGGTTTGAGTGTATGGAAACATATCCGTAACTATTTTCCAATCGATTTAGTTAAAACCGTCGATCTATCACCTGATCGCAACTACTTAATATGTGTATTTCCTCATGGAGTTTTGAGGTACCTCCTTAGGAAGAAATTTGAGTTTTACAAATGATTTGGTACTTTTACATCCCCCCATTTCATGTCGTCATTCAATTTCAGTTTTGGAGTAGCGGGAAATTTCTGTACTTCGTACTCAAAGTGGAATGAACTCTTTCCGGGCCTTCGACCCAAAGTTGCAACTCTCAGTTTAAATTCACTGATGCCGATAGCGCGTGAACTATGTTTAAGGTGATGTTTTTCCAAAAAAATTATTTGTGCTTTCATTATTTCGAATGATTTTTAATTCATTAGTGTTGGATGTTGTTCGGCGTCGGCTAATGCACTGACTATTCTCTTGAAGCAATCAAATGATCCAACTCACACATCCAATCAAGATGGAGCTACTTCAAATGCAGTAGCTTTGTTAGTTGGTGGCATTCGTGAACAACGACGTTGCACTTATCCGAATAGATATCGATTTGTTTTGAAAAATCGCAAAGGATTTGTACGAATTGCATTACAAACCGGTGCTTCACTCGTGCCTGCCATTTCATTCGGTGAAAATGACTACTATGATATAATCGAATCGAAACCCGGTTGGTTGAAAAGAATTTTCAAAAATGCCGAAAATTGGCCACCACTTTACTTTGGCCGCGGATATTTTCAGTATAATTTTGGAATACTGCCCAAGAGACGTCCAATCACAACTGTCATCGGGCCACCAATTCATTTGAGGAACATTCCCATCCCAAGTGAAGAAGAAATTAACGAAGTTCACGAACTGTTTTGCAAACGACTTGTCGAATTATTTGAAGCACACAAAAACAAATATGTGCAGAATTTTGAATGCGTTCATGTGGAGTTTGTGTAAAATGGAATTTTTAAACACAAACAGAAAACTTGTGTAAAATGTTGTTGTTTTTTGCATAAGTCACTTGATATTTAATTAGAAGTTTGTGAATTGTTACACATGAATATGACAAATATTTAATAGATTTAGAATGAAATAAAGAGACCGTTAGACTGGACAAAGAAAGTGTTTTTTTATCAAAGTTTCTCATCCTAATTGGTGAAATATATGAAAAAATTACAAATTTGGCATTATTATATCAAAAATCATTCGAAGTATACACAAGGAGTCTCCTTGAAGGAGATATTGATCAATCACAAATTTGTATTATGCGATAGAAAGTGTGAATTATTACTGGTGTGTAAGGGGAAAGTATTGCAATGGGTCAACATTTACGACATCTCAAAAACATGTTTTCTGGACGTTTCTGAGGTCAGAGAACCCGAATCAGGCCGTTTTGAGCATGGTTGTTGTGGGTCGCTTCCACGTCGTACGTCGTACCTTGTCCTCTGTACGCAAAATTTGTCCATCGATTATCTCACCCCCCAGAAAAGTTTTAAAACCTGACTGTACAGGATGATTGGGGGTCGCGAGGAATGGAAATCATCAGATTTTGAGCGACTTTGGTTGATGGAAAAAAATGTCATGTCTGGAGTGACACCTATGAAAAAGAGTCCAATTTTTGACCAAAAGTTATACTTTATGTAGACTTAAACACTCAAAAATATGAATTGGGGGGTTTTTGGCACGAGAAAACCGAATCCGACGTTAATTTTGAGATACAATTAGGTTTAAACAGAGTTTCTTCGAAAAAATCGCGAAAAATTCAATTTTTGTATGGGAGCCATGCTTTTATACTACCGTAATGACGTGAAACTTTGCACAGGCTGTTTCTTACACAAGAAAATAACATTCTGAAAGTTTGAAGAGATTTCAATCAAAATTAGGGGTACCTTCCATACAACATTTTCAGTTTTTAGCTCAAAGGCTGAATTACTCTTAATTTTGGTTGAAATTTCTCCAAACCCTCCGAATGTTATTTTTTTGTGAAAAAAATAATCATGTCCTTACGATACCATGCAGGCATGATTCCCATACAAAAATCCATTTTGAAGTGTGAAAAATCTTTTCTCGAGTACTTCTGCTATTAAATTAAAGAATATTTCGATGCCGAACACATTTTTTGGCCTCAAACTTAACGCCGCTTGAAAGGCTTGAAAAATCGAACAAATATTATTTTGAACTAGCTTAATAAAATACGCAACTACCACCGTGCGGAAAAGATCGTCTTACTCCTGTAAGACTCTTTATTCGAATTAAACATAGGAAAAAATTTGCTAATAAATCAGTCAAGTTGAAAATTCTGCAAATTGAATTAAATTAGGAGAATTTATTCAGTACATTTCGAACCAAGCGATTTTTGTTGATATTTACTTTTTGTTGATGTTAAAATCATTTTTATGCCTCCACCCATTTTTACACTAATACAACGTTCATGCATATCGTTCCTGTGACAAAGACAACCGAGCAGCCAATTGAGTATATTGAGATATATTCCGCCAGCTGAATCAGCAAACGTCAGGCGCTGAAATGGTGTGAAAATAGATTGTTATAGCTATAAAAACACTTCCATTGTTACAATCAATTGTTTTCACTCCATTTCAGCATTTTAAGGTGACGTTAGCTGCCTGGCTGAAAATATTTCAATAAAATGTCTGGTTAATTTATTTTAGTTTCACATCGATAACGCTTAATTGTATTTTACTGTCTTAAAGTTCAAGGCTTGTACTGTCAATCTAAGCGACTTTTTCGACTGAATATCATAAAATCGCATCAAAAAGACCGTATAACCACATAAAAAAACATTTAAGCTAACAGACAAATAATGAATTTAAAAAAACAAGAAATTTATTAAAAACTGGACGCGTACGTGCCAGGCAGTTTTATAAATATTTTATTCGAAAAACATACGATGATTATTCGAAAAATTGGACTATTTAACATTTCTCAAACTCAATTTTGTTTCGTCGAAATTCGATTACCAAACATCGTTGAATATATATTCAAAAGAGAAGAAACAGTAGGCATAGAGAATGAGGCATTTCATGAGAAATGACTTCTCCTTGCTTGCTGTTGAAATCCATGTGAATATTTCTAGGAAATTTTATTTCTTAAAAAAAAAAAAAATTGTAATCTTGTTTGTTTATTGACAAGATTGTCTCGTTATCAAACACGTTCTATAAATATACCGCTTATAAAGTCAGTACACACAGAGTCACAACGTTCAGCATAGTCCAGTGCTTATATCGCAATGAATCTATTGTCGTGGTTTAAATTTCGATCGCAAAAAAGTTGCAAATCGGCAAATTTGTCAGTCAAAACGACAAACGAAATCCATCCAAATAGCAAAAGAAATGTTTGTGCACCAAAAATTCATCAATCTTCCGAATTTTTGAAACTAAATGCGGATTGCATGGAAGAGATTTGTGAATGGCTTTCGTTACGAGATTTGGATACATTATGTGAAACGTGCAAAGTGATGAGACAGTTCGTTGTTAAATATTTTCAAAAAAATTACGCAATAACTGGTCTTTGTGAAAGTAACTGTATGTCTGTACACGGAACATATACGATTGACATCAGTAACTTGAGTCCGTTTATAAAACATGTGATGATTTGCAACGATCAACGAAGAGACAGTCGTTTTACATATATTTCGGAAAATTGTCGATCAGTGGAACAGCTCAGTTTGCATTTTGTTACATTGTCTGATGATAGAATCGCCCTCCTCAAACCGCTTCTCAGCAAAGTGCAATGCATTGTTCTAGCTCAGCCGCGCTTTCAAGGCGAGTTTTATGAAAAATTCCTAAAACATTGTGGAAACTTATCAAAATTGTGCATGCAAACGGGCAGGGAAATCTTAATGGGATCGTCGAACAATTGGATGCAACGGAAATATCCATCACTTAAAAATGTGGAAATCACACAAATTCCAGCGACCAAATTCAATAAACTCAAAGTTTTTTTCGAGAAAAATCCACAATTAGAATGTCTTGCCGTCAATTCGAGTTTGGTGTGGAAAAATCAAGGGATTTTTTGTAAGTGTAAGGTGAAACTTAATGATTTTGCAATCATTATAAATTTTGAGAAATCACGCGATTATCCAGCTTACTTTCAACTATTTAATCGACTTCATAAGCAAGGATTTTTTCAACAAATACATTTATACATCTATGGTTTCGATAAAAGTACTATTAGACAAATGGAATCGCTGCAAGCATTTGTTAAACTTTATGTTGCCAATTGTACATTAGATAGAAGTGTTGCATCGTCATTAGTTGGTATCAAAGAACTTGCGACGGACACAAGTGAAAATTTTAAAGACATCGAAAATTTGGCTAAAGACCTGGTGAATCTCGAACGTCTTTACATGCAAAGCGCGAGGATTGATGATATTTTGCCATTTATTGAACATTCCAAGAAATTGCGGACAATTCAAGTCAAATATTTGAAAATTGAACAATATGCTAATTATGGAACACTCGATTTGTCGGCGTTGAATACGATGAGGGAACAACTGAAGGGCGCTCGAAAAATTACTTTTTTCATTGCAGAAAGATTGTATTTGAAAACGAAATTTGTTAAAAACACCACCGAATACCCATTGATCGAAATAAAAAGGTCGGAGTCATACGAATGGGACCATCACTTTGTGATCTGAATCCGTTTTTTGAGAAAAAAATATATTTTTTAAATTTTTTTTTTGTATTGAATTAAACTTAGAATTAAGGTAATTTTTCCGAAAATCATTTAGTGTACAAATCGACTGGCTTATCAATGTGTTTTTTTGAATAAATGAAAAAAATGACTATTGATTTATGTTTTAAAACAAAAAAACTCGTTTTTCTTTGTAATACTGAACTTTGGAAAAATTGATCAAAGATTGGTGGTTTTTAATTCAATTAAAATATTGTGAAAACACTTACAAGGTAAGTAGTTAAATGCCATATAAAATCAGATGTTATCGGAAAGATTTCTGGATTCATATTTTGCTATGGTTCATATTTTATCCTGTAAATTTCTTATTTGCCTTAATATTTAGAATTACTTACTTCTTCTGAAAATTTAATGACGAATATGTGTTTCTTTGTGATGAATGAAAGGAAATAAAACTCTTTTTAATGTTTTTACTGTTGATTTTCGGCTAAAAATGCACGTGAACAGATGTTTAATGTTTATTCAAGAATGAACTTCAATTAATGATTTTTAAAACGAAAACAAAATATGTCTTTATTTGTAAATGACAGTTATAGACAGTGAAATATACTTCATTGAAATACACTTGTGTAAAAATTAAAATAATTGAAATTAAAGTGAAAATATTGTCGACAGAGGAAATGTTGAATAAAATGTATCGTCATAAAAATGAAAATGGACGAATCCATTCACATGAATCCACTTATCTTATTTCGGTGAAGCTCAAATTGATGTCGCTGTTTCTGGTTGTCCATTTAGTAGTCAAGCTAGGGGGTAACCGCGCTCACGGGTCTTTATCGACTATTGTCTCCAATTCTTCATCTTCAAATTTTTTTGGTTGGCCGTTCTTTGTCGCTTATGTCAAAATCACCACTTTGAAAACGTGCAAACCACTGTTGGCATGTTCTAATATTTGGGGTATATTCCGGGTAAGTTTCCTGGAGCAGACGATAATAACTTTCAGATGCATTTTTCTTTTGATTAAAAAAGAAAAGCGAAACTTCCCGTAAATGCTGTTTTGTTGGAACGTAATTCGAAATTTTCAATGCAATAATAAAACTTGTGTGTGAAAAATTATATTCACTTTGACAAATCAATTTAGCGAATTTTTTGACACTCTTTAAGATAGAATAGCTGTCACTATCAAAAACTAGTACACATGACAATTAAGAGGTTAGTAACAAATGCGAAATTATTAAGTTATACTCCAAATAAATTAGTAGCAATCAATCTAGGGGCTCGGAAGTATTTTTTATTCGCGAAAAACCATGCATATTCACGAATATTGGTCCATTTTGAGTAGTGAACAATAACTTCACTTTCTGTGAATATTCGTGAATAAAATCATTATTCCTTCATCATTTATTATCGTAAATACCCAAAATGGCGGCAAACGGTGCATGTCATTTAGTGGAACGTCATTTATAAAATCACAAAGGCTTACTATAGGAATATTAATTACAGAGTTCTCAAGGGGCTCCCGAATTTTAAAATTTTGAATTGAATGACATTTTTTGGATATTTATATTTTTAATTCTAAACCAAATTCCGAGTCCGACCGATGCCCGACCGTAAAAATCGGTCGTCGATCGGATTCAAATAGACAATTGTCGGGATACGGGCGGATTCGGATCACAAAAATGTGGCCCGTTGAGAACTCTGTTAATTACATACTTTTGAAGTTCTTCATCCAAATTATTTTTTTTGTTGAAGAAATATAAATTTTTAGCCTGAAAATTGTTTTTATGCAATAATAACATGATTATTAATTTTATTTTGTGTTGTGTGTGTGTTTCAAATCGCTGCTGTATAATTACAAAAAACTACGATAATCACGAATATTTGTAATATTTGTCACTATATACCAAATTCATACAAAACTGTAATTATTTGATGTTTTTTTCAAGTTCCGAGCCCCTAGCAATCAATTCTATTACATAAAGAAATAAAATATATTCATAAGAAAAAGACCAAGAAAAAGAAGAAATTACGTGTTTTTTCCTTGTATTTTTTATTTTCGGTTGATTCTTTTATTATAAAAAATGTTGTGTCAATTGGTACTAAGTGTAAGTAAATAAGAATTATTTTTTTGGTTTGTAAATACACTCGAAATCTTAATCGCTAGACATGCTTAATGTTATCCATGATCTATTTACATTTTATGTATATACAAGCTGCGCGAGTAAACAAATCTAGCCCATTTTCCGTGATAATCTTCTGACCATTTTTTTATCTTTTTTTTTTGTAAACGCAATTTAATATTTTTCCTTGGTTTTCCGAAGAATTATGAAAATTTTAAATAAAAAGAAAATTAATTTTAAACTTTTGATTGGTATCGAATTTAAATTTCATGAAAATGGAATATCCCAAATTTATACCGATAATGTTGACAACAAAAAATGTTAAAGTCTTGATTCGAAATTTTCGTAGCTGTAAAAATTGACTGGACGTGATAGCAGTTTGGTTGGTATTGATTTTTTGATGCAACTTTCAGCCTCAAAGTTCATAATCATTTTGCTAACGTTGCTGGTGCGTTTTTGTGATAAATCTACCATATTGTCATCGGTTGCATGTTGTAAAAATTCAAAAACATCATCAATAATACGCGTGGCTTCCGCATCAAAATCATTTTTCAACCGTTGATTTCCGGCTTCTCTAACATCGTTGTTCTTTTTATTGTTAGAGTCAACGCGTGACGGTGGTTGTGGTGCCTGTCTTTTAACTGCTTTTGACGTTTCCATTTGTCGTCGACGGATTTCTTTTTCGTATTTTTGCTTTTGAATTTGTACTTTTCGTATGGTATATGCTTTGCGAGCCAAAAATCCACGACACATTGACTGGATTCTAATGATGTTTTTAGTATATTTCTCGTATGCAAGCGCTTCTTGGCGGGATCGAATGCGTGCCTGTAATCGTTCCATAGCATCACGCAATCGTAAAAAGTTCTGTCGTGACTGATATCGTCGCCAATTGCTTTGAATTACAATAGCCGCCATTTGTCGTCGATTTAACCAAATTTTTAGCAAAACTCGTCGCGTGAATCGCTGCAAAATTTTCACATATTTTAAATAGGATCTTTCACGTTCAGCCTCGAGAAATACGTCTTGATCGTATTTTAAGAATACTTTCGTTTGACCCAATTGATAGGAGTGTGGATTGAATTTCAACAAATTGGCACACATTTTCTTACATAGATCACGATAATTTACTTTTATTTTGTGTGACTGAACAATTGATGGCATTAGTAAACGATAGCGCTGAACGAATTCTTGGAATGTATGCCGAATCGGATAGCCTAACGCTCGTATTCGAGCTGTTTCAAGCATGCCTGTGTAACGAAGTTGACGAACACACAATTCGTTATCAAACATATTCGGCTTTTTATGGTCATTTGGTTTTATGCATCGTACAAAGTAAGGATTGCAAGCGGTTAGTGTTTTCATTAATTCATCCAACGAATTTTTGAACTGAAGTGACAATGTCATCGTCTTTTTGCCCGAATCCAATGCACTATTTTTCTCAAACAGGCTCAACAAGAATGCATTATTCGATTGGGCAACTAATTCCTTGAGATCAGCACCAAATGTATCACGGTTTTTCTCCAAAAATCCTATTACAATAAAAGATCCTACGATTAGTTATTTTGTCATTGACATAAATCGAAGAAGAATACTTTTACCTTTAGAGTAGTACATTACAACACCGCCGACATAATGTCGAATACCAAATGACACCGCATGATCACTGAACGATCTGACGAAAATTGACTTTGAACCATGATTTGTATTTAACTTCATTAAAAGCGTTGTATCAGTGCCTACATAAATAGCGAAAAAATCTTTGTGAAAAAAAAACAAAGCCATAGAAAGTGCAAAGTTCATTTATATACGTGCTAAAGGACATTCATTTGGATTATTTAAAAAAAAGCTTGAGCTACCCGAAAAAAATTTACCTTTCGGAAACTTTGATTCTTCGTCTATGAGAGACATTACATTGCATGCTTTCAGTCCAATCATATCCAAAATACTTTGATTGTCGACAAATGCGATATTCTTCCAAATAATCTTCTCCTTGTTGTATTCACTTTGCTCCATCTGTGATCCAATAAAATAATCAATGCATATTAACAAATCCACTTCACCGCAGTTTATATGTGTCATAAAAGTTTTATATTAGCATATAAAAAAGTTTACCTTGAAAATTTGTTGAACAAAGAATTGTTGCAAGCTTTCATTTGCATAATTAATGCACAATTGCTCGAAACTATTGACCGAAAAATTCTCAAAGCCAAAAATATCCAATACTCCAAGTGATACGTTATGCATAATCTTTGGTCCGGATCTTGAGATTGTATTATTAATACGAAGAACGATCCAATTAAAAATCCGTCCATAGATAGTTTTTGCAAAAGAATCTCGTATCTCCATTGCATATTCTTTTGAAATGTTCGACACAACTCGTTCATCGTTCACATATAATGTTCGTCGTGTCAAACATTCGCATAGGATGCTCCGTGGAATTCCCAAAAAATGTGCAACTCTCGATGAATTTAAATTATCATGTATTTCTGTTGCATCGATATTTTCAATTATTTTCCTTTTGTATTGTAGGTTACCTAAGTGCAGTAGGGCGGCTAACAATTGAAAAATTTGCCACATTTCCCATTCGCTAATAGATAACACTTTCATGGCGTTTTTAATGCGTTCCAAATTCATAAATGTGTCATCGATGTCAACGGGTGAGTCATCCGAAGCCGTAAGATAATTGAATTTTTTGTTTGTATCAAGTTCGAGTGTGTCGCGCTCTTCGGCGGAGAGCCCATTCAACAGCATATAGAAAATGTGATAATTTCGTTCGCCACGATTAACCGATACAATGCGCGATTTTTCCAATAGATAATGATTGAATTTAGCACCTCTCATTACACCAATCTTATCAAAATGAATATCAATATACTTTCCGAATCGCGAACTGTTATCATTGCGAACAGTTTTTGCATTACCAAAGGCTTCGAGAATTGGATTTGCCTCAAGAATTTGCTCTTGAATCGGTGATTGTTTACTGATTGCCGCCAAATATTGTAATATGAACTTCATACTTTCAGTCTTCCCTGCTCCAGATTCGCCCGACACCAAAATACATTGATTTCGATTGTCTTCAATGAGCTTATTGTATGCTAAATTTGAAATGGCATAAATGTGTGGCGGTAACTCGCTCATTTTCTTCTGTTTGTACGCATTTATCAAATTTCTAGAATAAATATAGATGTTTTCGTATGGATTCAGTGCCACAAGCACCGTACCAATGTATGTCTATTGTTTGTGCGATTGGAAAAGTAAAATATTATTATGAATGTTAATCCTCTTAAAGAAAATAAGAACGAGCAAAACAAGAAGAAGATAACAATTTACGCACATAAATTTGCTTGTCCTTGTATCGAATCCATAGATTTCGTAATATGGCACATTCGTTGATATCACCCAATGATATCATATCTTCCACTCCAAATACCGATGTGATGTGCATCGATTTGATGATCTGAAATGATGTTTTTTTTTGTAATGAAATTCATCTAAAATATTTTTGGTAAAAACTTCGGACTCACAAGAAATTAGGCGAATTAAAAAGTTTGGAAAATAAAAAAATGCAATCATTTTACCTGATCGGGTTTAATCCAACTTTCTTCTTCATCATCGTTACGAACTAATGCTTTCCCTCGATCAAATCGTACAATTTGACATCCGATTGGTAATGCAAATTCCGAGTTTTTCAATGGTTTTATCCAAACCCATTGTCCCTTCATAAAAAACGAAACGAAAAATTGATAAAAAGACAAAAAAAATACGTTGATTAGTAACAAAGTTGCATAATAACAGAGACACATTGTTTTAAAGTGTTTACTATTATAATATCAGCATGAACTTAATTCTCAGGTTCAAAATTACAGCAAAAAAAGAGAGAAAATAATGGTGACGACATGCTATTATAAAAAAATAGCATACGTCAAAAATGAGAAGTATGCGCTCATTTCTCATAGCGATTTAATAAATCATAAGCATGCTTGAAATAAGTCAACAAAAATGAAACTTTATCTCTGTATCATTTACGAAACTATAGAGTGTGCGATAAGAAGATTGAATTACAACGTCAATATTTTCCCTGCACACGCACGGTTGTTTTTTACAGCACCTTTTGTTTTAATCGAAATAACTAAACAATCAATAGAACTCTGAATGAAGCAGATTCCAAGGCTTTCCCGCCTTTACTACAATCGCCGTTCGTAAAATCAACAAACCAACAACAAGATTTGTGATTAAAAAAAAAAAAAAAAAAAAAAAAACAAAATAATGTGTCCACGTTTTTTTTGTCTGTAGTCAGGTTTTAATGAATAAAAATAACAGAGAATTTCTGTTCATATTATTATTATTGTTGTGTTTTGTTTGTTAGTATACATATATGTTGCCAGTGAAATCGTAAGTTTTTAATCATAACCACTATTTAACCGATTGTTGTTTACGTAAATTAATTGTTTATTTGTTTCTCATCCCGTATTGTTTTCCAACTGCTGTGTTTAGCCAGATGAAGGTGATAGATGAATGAAAAATCACAAACAACAGCAGCTTCAACATCGTCCAGCCCATTCTTATCATTAGCGCACGTGTGTGTGGATGAACGCGCGATAGACCCGTTATTTATGTATAAATAACTATTGAATCTGCATTTTTTTCTTCTCTATCGTTTTATTCGTTGTACATCTGCCGACTAATATTCATTTATGCATCTTCTACGCACATATCATCCATTCTTTTGAGCGCGGTGCATCATCATTTAATCTGAAGAAAAATGACGGCAAAATACCAAACATACATGAATTCCATAAACCGCATAGATTCCACGCGCACGTTTGTTAGACAATAGTTAATTTTGATTTAATTCGGTCGGATTTTTTTTCTTTCGATCCATCTCTCTTCTCTCTCTCGAGTGGCTCGATTATTTTACCATTTATCATTTTACCGAAAAGCGATTTGCATTTTTCGATTGCTGTTATTGTTTCGTCTTTCATTATGTTTGTATAACAATGTTTAATGAAACACGAGAACGGCACGGTAATAGACTATATTGGTTTTTAGAGGAAAAAAATAACTCAATAAAAATTTCCATATTTTAAACAATAGAATCGGGAAATGAATATCATGCAAAAAAGCATTATGCTACAACCGTTTTGCGCACGTTGTTTAATGCTATACACCGAAATACGTATGCATGTACATTGTACATGTGCTCAGGATGATTTACAAAAAAAAAAATTTTGTATTGCCATATTTATTCTTACCGACACAAGCTGTAACGTGATTGCATAATAACTTTTTTTCTGTCATCTTCGTGTGGCTGTGAAATATATTTTTTTTAATATCTTTTCGAATTACATGCGATTTTTGTGTCTATTTTTTTCTCTTCTGCATCAGTCGAAAATTTTCATCTTAATCCGAATATGTTTGTTTTGGTAATATAATGTGTTAACGATCCAATTGTATATTTGGCCGATGAATATAGTTGCTCAATATTCGACAAATTAGAAACAAATCACTGAATAGAATTCATTAAATGGATTTTAGATGTGGCAGCGTGCTAACTCTAGTGTTTATTTTTTTATTTTTTCGAATTGCATACTCGACGACAATTAGACATTCAAACTGCATCAACATAACAATCTGGAGAAAATAGGAGGTAGAAAGAAAAAGAGCGAAGAAGAGAGAGAGAAGGAGATAGATGAAAGCAGCACCATGATAAAATGAAAGAATGGAGCGTGTGGGTCCACTTCATTGATTGTTTATCATTAAAATTATCGACCGATTCAGGGAAATGATTTTGCACAGCTTGCGCATATTGAGCTAACTAATTGATATTCTCTATCGTTACTCCATCATTATCGTTTGATTCGCTATAATAAGTACAACGCAAAAAAATTACGTCGAATCTTGGGCAAATCACTTGAATCGTGATTGCATTTTTTCTATTGAAAATGTTTGTATTGAGTGTTCAAATTGAACACTGTGCATGCTACAGTGTACGTACAATCATTCTGTTGTTCTATCAACAAATTGGTCGGCATCTTCCTTATTTCATTGCAATTTATCTATTTAGTTGATTGTTTTAATTATACGTCTGTTTTTACAATATTGGTTTCTTTATCTAAAAACCGTGATAATGAAAGAAAAATAAGTTTTCACAAAGACAGAATCGAACATTGGTTTAACATTTTATTAAATCAATATTTGTCCGTGAGTCATACTAAGCAAGCCGAATATTGCGTTAAACATATATTTTTCTACATGCTACGACAACGCCATCTCTGTTTCCCCATGTGTGTAGAGTATGTTCAATTGTTCAATATTGACAAATCATTCAAACGGGTCAATTTTGTACCGCAAAAATAGCTGTCATCGTGAAAATATGTCAACAATATTATTCATTGAAATTTTTGAAATTGACTGTACCGTGTTTATTTTTTAAAACAATTTTCAAATGCATATTTCTGTAAATCTCATTTCAAAGTTTTAAAATATTTGTACAATTCTACATAAATAATATTTTAAATTTTTTAAACTGAAAGGAAATTTTCAGCATAGAAACAGCTTCTGCTGCAAGACCAAAGATGTCGTTTTCGGGGGAGATTCGTGTGACGTTTTCATATAAAACATATAGCGCATTACTCGGTTATACTAAGCGATAAAAATTTACAGCAAATGCTGAAGTACAATCGAGGTCTGGTAAAGTGACAATAAAGTAATTTTTCACTACTACTGAATTTCACTCGACGGAACAAAAGATGAAATTGTTTTGTTTTTTTTTTGTGAAAAAAAATTGACGTTTGAAAAAAATAAAAAAGGAATGTATTTGTATATGTGTTAACAGGATTAACATTGATCGACACTTATTTGCTTGCGAATTATGTAATTTTCCTTTCGCATTGGACACATCAGTTCTAAAAGTACAAGGTCAGATTTGTATCGCTGTAAATTATTATTTTTTGCTAAGAGTCTCTTCGCAATTCATTTGTCAAATGAGTTGGGAGAAACAGTACAGTTCATGTATTTCAAAATGTCGTGTTACCTTCTCTCTCTCTCTCTTGCTTTACACAGCATCAAAGCATGTAATTGTGTGACACAATGTCAAAGAATTAACATATTACAGATACGTTTGTGTGTAACAAAATAGTACAATTTTGACTTTGGTCACGTATTTGAATATTTCCGTCCCATATACAATCACTCTCAAATCAACTCAAAATACAATGGGCAGAGAGATCAGTTATAGATGGAAACTCAAAAAAATTGACACATAGCGTAAAATCAAACGTTTTTTGTTGTTTTCAATGTGTGTTTTTTTATTTCTATTCATTCTCAAATCACTGTGACTTTCCATACAATTCTATGAATTGACGATTTGGTTTCGTCTATAAACCAAAAAAAATATGGTATTTTTTTACTCTCTGCACGCATCACTTCCATTGTACAAAAGAGGGCTTAATACACACCGATTTCAGTAGACCATCATCAGCACCATACATACAATGATGTACAACTGATTAAAACCAGAGCGAAAGGTGTCGATTCATGAAAGAATAGATATAAAACGTGTAAAATCATAAAAACATTAACAACGGCCGTGATTGTGAATGATGATGTTGTCTTAATTCTAAGCGATTTGGAATTTGCTTTTCTTGCTTTTGTGTTGTGGATGGCAGAGCAAAAATGTGCGATCACAAGAAATTGAAGAAAAAAAAGCAAAACAAATTCCAAAGCGAGCAAACACGATTTGCTCGCTCATTGTGGGGAAATATAATGCTCGGCATTCTACGATGCAAAAATTGTTTTTTATATGGTGATTTCTATTTGGTCACTAATTTTGCCCCATAAGTCACATACATACGCATCAAACCATTCAGGCCGGCTCATCTAACTGTTCTTTTTTTAATAAATGAATAAAACAGCGTGCGTGCGCTAGCGCGCACATACTTTACCAACAATGAAAATTAAATGTAATAATTTTCATAATAAAATAAAGAGAAGATGATGCGTGCCGTTTGTTGAGAGAAAAAGTGCGACGCAAATGTACAAAAACAGACTCGCGCACAGAGTTGATATTTAAAAAAAATGTATTAAATAAACACTGAATTATATTTACGCTCTAGAAGAAGATTGTTTTGCAAAGTTCTCCTTTTTTCTCGGTGTATCGTGAATTCTAACGACGCCTGAACGGAAAATTTAATAAGACTTTTACGAAAGTGTGAGAACCGGCAGCAAATGTATGCATTTTAGTTTGATGGTTTTTACTTTAAATTAGACATTTGCTTCTTTTAATTAAAATTTGGAATAATTTGTTTGAAATTGGAATGTCACAAAACACGAATAATTTCAAAATATTACAAATTTAATTTAACAAAAACTTACTTTTTCGTGTGCGTAATCCATTTCATTGAAGTAAAACAAAAACAATCCAAATCAATTTGAGCATATTCACTAAGAATTCACAATGTATTTGAAACGAACAAAAAGTCACTACGTTTCCAATAAGTTCGAAGTCTATATTGCACCATCAAATATCGTCTATATTGTTTTTCACCTAAAAAATTTTTTCTTTTTGATTTCTTGTTCGAATAGAACTACACACACTCTTACATACACCAAAAAAAATCATACATTTTAACACTTAAGAGAGCATCAATAATGTTTGATTATGTTTTCTTGTGCAATGACGCTTTTATGTTTCTCAACATTCATCACTTTCTAAAAAAGAAACACCAGAGTAACTTCCAAATGGGCACAATTTGGATAACAAAATGCAAATTAACCTCTTATCACGTGTTTCAAAATATGGTATAGTGAAAAATGAGCAACAGAATCAAGCACCACAGTTCAAGCGTGACAAATTAATGGTGTTGCGTTGTTTTCGAATTTGTCGGTCGGTTGGTCGAAGAAAAAAAAAATATGTTAAAAGTTCTAATGTTCTGTTGATAGTGTGCACATACGATTTTTCTATTCCGCTATCGACAAACAGTCAAATGAAAATGAAAATTGTGAAGAGTCAGCGCGATCTGTTCGGCAGCGTATCTATTCCAATACTGCGTGCGAAAACAACGTTTTATTTCTTCTCTCTTGATTCGTTTTAATTGTTTTGAATTTTTCGTTCGCTGTTGTTGTTGCCGTCATCTGTGCTTATGTTTTCGAATTCTATTGTGTTTCAATCGTTTGTTCGTTTGCGCGCGCGATCTGTGTGTTTTTTGTTTGTGGGCACGACTACCGTCATCATTATGAAACACCAATACGAATATACTTGTAATAGTCAGCCACTTGCCACACACACACAGCTGGAGGAAGAGAAAAATTATATACGATTTTCGTTCAACAGTTACGATTCTCATATGCACAAAAACAAATACGACAACGCTCCTATAAGCCCATCATTAAAAAAAACAACAACTGTAAATTACAGCACAAACACATTGTTGCAATGTGATATTCTTTTTCCAAGCCAAAAGAAACAACAACGTTTTCATATAAAAATGACAGAAAAAAATGATAATAAATACAACGAGTGTTAACGAATACAACGTTTTACCTTATTTGTGTGTTGTGTTATCTTCAGCCTCGATAGAGAGAAAGAGAAATATGACTATTGTTGTTGCAGTCGTTTGTCACTTGTCAAGTACTACTTGCATATACGAAAGACACACCGAAAATGGCAAAATTCACTTGTTGTATACAAATCAACACATAGTTGGGTGTACTACTTCTCATTTTTTCGTCACAATGTAATCACAATGCAATGAAAATTATTCGGTTCACGGAACTCCAACACATTTTTTAAACGGTCTCTCTTTCTCGCTCGATTTTCAGGCCTAATGAAGTCTTGGTATAATTGGTTTTTGTACTATTACATATTAAACGGCACAATGTTTATCATCATGTGTCTAACAGACATATATACATGTTAGATAGAGGATAGATCAAGTGATTTGAACAAAACAAATATAAATGTTATTACGTTTGTACGCGACTAAATCCCATTGTTTTTTCCAACGCGTGTTTTTTTCCATTGATGGACTTTTATTTTCCTCATGTTTCCAAATATGGCTCAAACAATTGCTGAAAACAATATTTTGTTGGCATAAATAAAATAAAAACAGCCGAAAAACCAATTTTCTTATTTTTTTACTTGTTTTATACACCATTTACGGCGACAAAATATTTACTTTTTTACTTCACATCTCTGCGGTACGTTGTGCGAGCGCACAATTAAACATCACAGCTATTATTATCAAACTACAAAATTATGGCGGAAAAATATCTATCGTAAAAAGTGTTGAAATTCCTCTTAAACGATTTGGATTATAACGGATTGCGGTTTTTTATAGCTCTCGTTTTTCGCGGCTCTAAACATCAACAAAAAAAGAACTAATTGTTTTTGATCTTCAAGCTATTTTTTTAAGCAACGAAAAAAACTTTGAAACCATCCACACATGAAATAGTGATGAACAATGGTATGTTTATTGCAAAATGAACTAATCGCAAAAACATTATTGCGAGAGATGAATTCACAAAACATATTTCTGTACTGCACAACAATTTCAATTGATTGAGTTTCATTCGCCGAAATTATAGGTTTGCGATGATAATGAAGTGATTAGTTTAACGTATACACACAATTTACCGCTTAAGCCAATACTAAATTATTTAATCAAAAAGTCCACTGCCGCCGACCTAGTAAACATTGTTCATCCAAACCTACTGAATCAAGGTAATCAATTTGATACCGGACTTGAAAACATTTCATTAAATCTAGTACAAATATACTGGAAATATACAATTCAAATTGAATCGTAATTATCAAAAAATTTATATTTATATACATTTAATTTTATTAGTATTAATTACGGAAATCTCAACAAACCACAAGTGAAATATGTGCACAATTTGAAAATTCATTTGTTTCACCAATTCAAAGTAGGTACGTTTCTTTCACAACAGATGGCATTGTTTGCATTCAGTAGTTAAAAGCTACAGTGACAGGAGAATGTCACACATATTTTGGTTCAAGTCGTGTTTTGAACTGAAGGCAAAAATTGGTGCTCTTTTGAATCGGACGTAAATATCAATTGGAATAACGATTGATTTCATTTAACATTTGGAATTTGGCTTATCTACCATATTTTATCAACAAGAGTCGGCCGCAATCACAATGGCAAAACGAATCTTGGTGGGTAAAATTACTTTGAAACATAACCTCAAATGGAGATTCTGAATTTTATTTATTTAATTTTATTAATTTTTTGTTTTTAATTAAAGAATACTGGCAACCCGTATAAAGTAATTCCAAAAAGCGTTTTCGAGTCTGGGATTGCATCTTATCTGCCGAAAGCCTATCAAAATTTTTATTATCAAATGGAACAAGAACCAACACCCGTTCATTATATTCCAAAGGCAGGAAAATATGTTCAAGATGAAAAAACTGGCGTCGTGAAACCCGTTCAAAATGTACCAATTCCATTAAAATTTCCCCGAGAATTCGATAAATGTTTATTGGGCGGCGAAGGAATCATTAAAGGATTCTATAAAAGTAAACCACAAGGCTAAAATTACAATTCCATTATTCTACAATTTCTGATCCATTACTTATTGATTACTTTCATTTTCTTATTCTTTTCTTCTTTATCCCTAGGTAAACCACAAGTACGACGGTTTCCACATTTTTGGATACCAAAACTATCACGAACAGCTGTATATAGTGAAATTCTCAATCAACATATGGAAGTTCTTGCAACCGATCGTGTTGTTCAACTCATCCATCATTATAAAGGATTTGATGAGTATATCATGCAGGTAAATTTTCAGTAAATAGACATTTGGAATATTATGAAGTGACTTAGTTTAGAATTTTCTTTTTTAAGAAATATTTCAAGTTTTTTTTCCTATAAAATTGTCGGAGGAGTTTTTTTCAAGTGATCACTTTTAATAAAGACAAATTGGTGATTTTTGCGATTTTTCATAGACTAAAGCTATTGATTTGAGGACAAAGCTCGCTTTATCAATCAAACGTCAAATGATCAAGGCTATTCATGCTGGTATCCCAGGATGGGCCGACGAACCCGAAGAACAAAGAGAAATTTTAGCCAAGTACAAGAAATATGGCGACCAGGTAAATTAATTCAAATACACAGTAGCATTTTCATACTTAAATTAAACATTTGAACATTATTTTGTTCAGTATACACCTGAAGAAGCTGATTGGTTTGGATATAATTTGTATGATGCAACACAAAGGATGGAAAAAATCTTAGAAGCCGAAAGAGAAGCTAAGATTGTACCACTTAAACATGAATTTCGTCGTAAACTCATTGAAGATTTGAAAGCGGTGGGCATGCAAAATGTTGAACGTGTAGTTCGCACCGAACAAGGAAAAATTGTTGATTTCAGCGGCGAGTAAGTAAAATTTTCAAAAATTTCATAACAATCATATTCAACCTCCTCTATTTTTTATTTAATAATTTGAATGTATTTTTTCATTACAATTCATCCATAAGATTTATTTTATTCCATTTTTTTTTTCAGAAAAAAAACTTGGATTTCAAAGTTGAATCCATTCTCAAAGAAATAGTTCTCAAAGAAACTCATTTTGTTAGTCGAAATAAATTCAATTTTTAAATAAATATTTAATCAAAAATCAAGTCAGGCGTTTTTACTTACATAAATTCTTTTTCTTAGTCATTTCATTAAAAAAAAGAAATAAGAAACGGACACTTTTTCAAATACATTAATATAGTTTATGATAGTTTATTCAACCAAAATCAGTTCCTAAAATTGCTGTGTACATTTTTCGTTTTGCCTAAACATGATGCTATTACCAGTTCCAGAGACCTTGTGGTGTTGTCTGATCTCCGAAACAGTGTCAGAGCATTACAATGAGCTATATGCATTATGCAACCATACAATGAAATGTTCCATACACGGTTACAACTTATATGATTGATTACCTCTTAAAATGTGCTGGAATCTCTAAATGCAGTCGAACATTAATTTAAAAAAGAAGAAAACAATAAATTATTTACAAAAGAGTGAAAATTAATGGCATTTTTTAACTATATAGTTTATTGTGTTATTTTCATAGCTTTCAATTAGTTTTGGTTCATTTCTGTCTCTTTCTGTGTCAAATTTCCTTTGAAAATAAAGAAAACCGTTTCATAATTCGAAGATGGATCTTTTCAAAAAATTAAATATAATTGTTAAAAATATTTTAAACAAAAACGGCTTTATAAAGGCACCAGTTAAAATACAGGCTTTACTGAAAGTAATTTGTTTTTGTTTTATCAAATACCTTTTATAAAAGTATTTCTACCTAGTAGTCAAGAAAACATCGTCACGCTCATAAAGACTTGTATGACATTCTTCGATTTTTAGTAGGACAATCTTGAGTAAAAACTGTTCTATTTTCATCTAAATGGCTTGAAATTTGGCTGTGTAGTCATAATTTTGCTACTAAATTTTTTTTCAAAATTTATTGTTTCAATTAAGTGTAGAGGAAGTGTAGGTAAGTGTACAACATTTTGTTTCGAAGTGTACCTGAAATTTTTTTTCAAAAAATCGACCTCTTTTTTTTTGGGGTCCTCATCATTTTGCCCGGGGTAGCTTTTTTCTAAATCTAAAATTTTATGTAATGTATTATGGTCTTAAAAAAGTGTACATTAAGTGTAGGTAACAATTTTGCCTTCATATATGATATTACTATGAAATTAAGTGATTTGGCCATACCAGCCTTATATGAGGGGCGAGGGGTACCTATACTGAAAATTTCAAATTAAGTGTACGATGATTTTGTGAAAGTGTACAGCCTTGAAATTAAGTGTAGGTTAAGTGTACATCAATATTATGTCTTTAAATTGTCACTTTCTTGTGATATGGTCATGCTCTCGCCTCCTAATTATCTCTCACCTTAATTTGAAAGAAAAAAAAAATTCTTCAAAAATTGTACTTAAAAAACATCAAATTTCTTTTGATATTCTTGTTCGTGGTTTTGCTTTACTAAATCCCATGCTCAATTCAATAAAATTTTTACAATACAAAAGTTTCATGAATAAATGAAAAGTACAATTCGAATTTTTCCAATCATTGAAATTAAATTTTACAATATTTTGAAAACATTTTCAAAAAAATGAAATTTGTTGTTTACAATCAGAATGCCATGAAATTTAGTATTCCTTATTTTTTCCACTAGAAAATAACTTTCTGAAATTTTCAAGGCGATCGGACAAAAAATGAGTATATCTCTCATACAAAAGTTCTAATATCTGGAGTAGAATTTTTGTTTTAAGAAAAAATGAGAATTTTGTAAAATCGAAATTTTTTGTTTACAGTCGGAATTACTTGAAAATTGGCATGCCTTATTTATTACAGTAGTAGTGATTTGAAATTTTCAGTGTAAGCCTTCCTTGGTGACCCCAGTGAGAGGTGAGAGCAAAATTATGACTACACAGCCTGAAATTTCACCAGTACCTAAATTCTGGTCATAAATGATGATTACTCTTCATAAGAAAATGTGTATTTAAATTTGCACATAATCTAGACTCCCAAGGGATCCATCGTGGAATCGATATAACTCTAGATAGACGCAAAAAAACTATTTGCCCAACAAATTCCGAAAAATGACCAAAAAAACCAACCAAATGCTACGTTCTAGGAGGGTTAAGTGATGTTGTAGGTCGATCGACACAGTGTAGTAGTTTTCATTTCAGAGCTGACGATATTCGCAAAAAATCTCTTATATTTTTGTAAGAATGTTATTCAACTGTTGAACCAAGAGCATTTTGTTAGTTTAAAAACTTCATCTCCGGATATGTATTTTGGTTTAGAGATTTAAGTGTTTCCAAAAGGATTTGTTTCAAGTTTCTCGAAAACATATAGAATACAATCGTTTTGTTAATAGTAATAATCGTACAGTCATGACTTTTTCTCAGATAATTTTTATTGTAGGTAATTTTCGAGCGATTTTCATTCAACTTTTCTCTGAAAAGTTGATTACAATGTATCAAGACTTAAAAACTTAAATAAACTCAGAAATATTCAATTGGCCGAAACAACTCTAAGACTAAGCGATTAATACTAACAATGATCGATATAGTCTTTGATTTGAGGCTTACACATTACACTAGATTAAGTTTTGTTTTATCACCCAATACTTGAATTGTGACTTGAATAAATTGAAATGTTGTCACATGTGAGAATATAATTATTATTACATTAAAATTTGTATATTTTGTATTTCTTTCACAACGTTCGCTCGCTCTTACACTTTTCCCAAGTGTCGATTGTGTTAGAAAAGAAGCGTTTTTTTTACAGTACAGTTTTGTGCATGTAATGTTGTTTTGGTGCAATACCCTGAATGGAAAAATGTATGTGTGTGTGTATGAATGAGTGTTTAGCGACAATAGCAGAATTTCCGTAGATCGGGATTTTTGTCCATGATGCATCGTGCTTGATCACCATACATGTTGATGCGTGACACATCGGTTATGTTGACGATAAATTGATCGATGAATAAATTGTGCGTTAAACTAGCTTCGAAGATTGAGTCACCGGGTTGAACGTGAATTTGTAGTTGATATAAATCTTTGGTGATTTTTGTTGTGGTCGATGTCAAATCGGCCAAATACCCGTCCATATCGCGATTTTGCTTAAATTTTAATAGTGTTTTACGTGGCTGTAATGTACCAGCCCATGTTATATTTGATATTGTTAGCATATGACATAAATGACGCTCTTCACTTGTATAGATATTGATTTTATCGACGATTGCATTTGCAGCACGTTTTACGAGATCCGAATTGGGATCAAGAAAATTTAGACTCAAACATGAACACCAATGTGGTTCGATGTATGCATCGGCACACGTACGCTCCTTTGGCACTGGCTTCAACAGCGATATTGCACGATTGAACTTATTCGCACGCAATATCTGGTCATAGGTTATATTCGATTTCGGCACTGCTGGAGGTGACTGCTTTTCTAATAGACCATCCGATTCTTGAACACCTATGGAACATAGACATGGGCTTTGATTGTTTGATTTTTTGAAGCGTGATTTGAATTTTGATCGTAAAAAAATACTCACGTAAAAGATCTAAAAATGTTTCATGCACGTCAAACGGTGTGACAAGTCGTTGTAAGTTTTCTTTAAAGTGACCATATTCTTTGGCATATCGTTTTTTGAATGCTTCTGGAAAGATAAAACTGAAAAATGGTAGGCGTTCTTCCAATTTGCCCTGTAGTGTATTTCGAACTTCGGCAAATCTGAAATTTCACGTGAAAAAATTGGAAAATACAGAAAAAAATGAAAAATTGTAAAAATATGGAAGGCACCATATGGTGTTCCCGATTGTTGACCGATTGCTTACCGATTCCCATGATCTGCCATCAAAATCAAAATAGTCCGATTGAGAAAGCCGTTGTTATTCAATCCTTCCAGCCACTCTTTCACGTCATTATCAGCAACGCCAACCAAATTGATTGAATCGTGTGACAATTCACCGTGAAAACTGAATGCAAATTGTGGCTTTCGTTCGCGATAGGCTTGCATAAATTTTTGCGTATAATCCATCATGACTTGATGTCGTGGTGTGTCACCGACACAAAGACGTTTGTGTCGCTTCATTTCACTTTGAAAGGCTAAATAAAAGGGTCGCATATAATGTGTGGTGGGTTGCTCTTGGAACCCATTCAGTCGATAGGAAAATGTACCCACATCCGGTAAATCTTCGTTGAACGCGGCTACATAGCTGTGTCGTGCATATTCGTTGAATATCATTGGATAGGAATTTACGTAGCCCGATTCGGAGATACGCTTGCGTGTCTCAGGCAACTCTAGTTCAGTGTAACCAGTCAATAGCTGCAAAAAGAGAGATATTTTTATCAAACTTTGAAATGTGGTTTATATAAATAGAGAAACTAACCGGTATAAGTGCTTGTGGTGTTCCATCACCAACAATATTGTATCCCTGAAGAACATCGGCATGTAAGTGCTTTGTCATGTATTCGTATGTGTTTGGTAACTTTCGGATCCATGCATTCCGACTCAACGAGTCAAAACCAAACATAATTACATTAAATGGCATCTCTTTGGTAACTTTTGGCAGTTCATGGTTATGAGCATCCTTACGGATCCCAGTCAAAATACCCTTCCAATACTGACGATTGCTATTTTCAAAAGTAAAATAATAATAATTTTGTAATCACTTTAATTCAATTCCTGTGTATCAAGGAAATCATTGGATTTCGACTTGAAATCTTCGATACGTAATTCTTTATTCAAAATCAGAACGATTTCCCGTATGAAATAAATAGACTTACTCTCTTTCATCGGTCCAGCACTTGACTCGTACAAAGTCCGATTTTTTCAGTTCATAAAATTCTTTGGATCGAACACGTTGTGCTAATTCTACATCAAAATCATTATCTGGCCGTATTATTTCAATAAAATCACATGTTATAGGACCGAGCCGATCGATAATCGAATTTTCAATCCAGCACACCCATGGCAGCTAAAAAAAACCAAACAAAATTCCACAATTTGTGAATAAAATCTTTCCTTTTTATAAACCAAATACAAAATTCTTTAAACATTTTTCAAAAAAGAGAAAAAATTTCAACGAAAGTTCTTACTTTTCGATCCGTCCCACAAGAAACCCAAGCTTCGACATCATCACACTGGATGGGCGGTTCGTTTTTCAAAAAGGCCATCATTTCCGGTGAATTGACCGGCAAGTCAGGCATATGACACTCATTCTGATTTTCTACCGACAAAATACCATCCTCGATTATATTTCTGGAAGAAAAAGGGCAAATTTAAGCATTTTTTTTTCTAGAAATTCAAAAAAAGTCACTTTTCACTTAAAATTGTTTGAAATATTTACATTTTATATCGATTGTTTCGAAATTCAGGAGGTTCTCCGATGAATACTACGTAAACACCGTAAATAGCGCATAGTATAAATGCTGTTAGAATGGCCCGTTTCGCTGATTTTCTCATCAGCAACATAGTTTTTTGTTTGATTAATCTGCTCGTACTATGACACACATCGAATTGTATTGGTGAACGTTATATCTAGGTGCAGGATGTGTACTTGATGGTAAATGTCTGGCTTCACATATTTTATTGACTCAGTTTGACAGCTGCCTAGTGCTTTCGTCTGTTTTTTGTTTGCACATCAATCTAATAAGCGCCGTTCTGCAAAGATAATAATAACATTCTATTTAGTAAATGTCTACGGAAACGCATCAATTTCGTAACATTATATTTAATTTATGGTATGATAATCGAATTTTACTGCGTGTTCGCTTTGGAATAAGGTAATTTACAACTTATTTTCAACGTTTTCTTATGAGAAACACTATAGTGTGTACAACAGCCATAGTTTCGAGATCAATTTATTTCTTAATTTGGAGAGGTTTTGTTTGTTTCGCTGGCTGCGTCGATGTTTTGACAGTATAATGAAGCTTCGTTCTTTTTGGAATTCGATTTTACTGCGGTGTATCCATAATTAATAAAGAGTCTTACGGGAGTAAGACGAACTTTTCCGCACGGTGGTAGTTGCGTATTTTATCAAGAAAGTTCAAAATAATATTTGTTCGATTTTTCAAGCCTTTCAAGTGGCGTAAAGTTCGAGACCAAAAAATATGTTTCAACTTTGGCAACGAAATATTCTTTAATTTAATAGCAGAAGTACCCGAGAAAAGATTTTTCACACTTTCATGATGAACCCATTTGTACGACATTTGAAAGTATTCTATTTTCTAACAAAACACTATAAAAAATATGTCTGACGTTTATTTTGCCATAAAAATTATTTTTGAAACACTTTTCATAACTAAAGTCACAAAAAATTTGGATTTTTGTATGGATATTATGCCTATATGCTACCTTAATGGCATGAAACTTTGTACAGGTTATTTTTTTCACAAAAAAATAACATTCGGAGGGTTTGGAGGAATTTCGACCAAAATTAAGAGTACCTCCCATACAAAATATTCGTTTTTGAACCAAAAATTCTTCAAACTTTCAGAATGTTATTTTTTTGTGTAAAAAATAGTCTGTGCAAGTCATTAAGGTAGCATACAGGCATGGCCCCCATACAAAAATGCAATTTTTTTGTGATTTTTTCAAGGAAACTGTATTAAAAATTGATTGTATCTCAAAACTAACGTCGGATTCGGTTTTCTCGTGCCAAAAAACCCCCCAATACATATTTTTGAGTGTTTAAGTCTACATTAAGTATGACTTTTGGACGAAAATTGGACTCTTTTTCATAGGTATCGCTCCAGGCATGAATTTTTTTTCCATCAACCAAAATCGCTCAAAATCTAATGATTTCTATTCCTCGGGACCCCCAATCATCCCGTGAAGTCAAATTTTAAATAACTTTTCTGGGGGGTGAGATAATCGATGGACAAATTTTGCGTACGGCGGACAACGTACGACGTACGACGTACGACGTGGAACGGACCCACAACAACTATGCTCAAAACGGCCTGATTCGGGATCTCTGACCTCAGAAACGTCCAGAAAACATGTTTTTGAAGTTTCGTAAATTTTGACCTATTGCAATACTTTCCCCTTTCACAACCAGAAACCGGAGATGGAGTGCAAAATGGTGTTGTCATTGTCATCTGAATGAACAATAGTTTATTCTAATTTCATTGTTCGAATAAAGTTTCCGTTGAAGTGAATGAATTTCGTTTTTCGAGATCCAAATCGACCCAGTTTCAACAAAACTATTGTATTGGACCGAATTGGCAAGAGCTTAAAGCTAAAATGATGGTAGTTCTAATCAATTTTGGTACTTTTATGCGTGTTCGTCAACACTCTGAATGTAAATCTAATATCATCACATACCAAACGCAATTTAATTAGTTAAAACTCAATTCTGAACCAAGCGACTACATACGGAATAAGCAGAGGCGCTATTTAGAAGAAACAGCTCACTGTGAAACTGTGTGTCCACTGATGTTCCGAGATATCAAATGTATTGTACTCAGCCACATATGTGTGCATGATTGATTGTCACTGAACAATAAGCACTTTTTTCCAACACATCCAACATTTGAATAGCATCCCAACCAGCCCAAGCAAGTGATACGACAACACAATTAAATTGACAAAAAAAGCCCAATGCCCGAGTCTGCATCAAACTAATGGAAACAAGCAATTTGTTCACACATCATTTAATTTTATGTTTGAACAAAAACTGTGCTGAAAATAATGGAAACTAATTACACTCCTATTATTAATACATATAATCACGTCGTCAACATAGAGGCTCTACATTGGGGGTCACACAGATAACATGCACGGAACGTGTATAGACTGAACTTCATTATAACGTGCATAAAATTGCATTTTTGAATATGAACAAATCCATAATTGAGTTGCAAAGTGCATCGGCAACGGTTGTTTTTCATATGTAATTATTGTCAATTACTATTGGATGTGATTGAAATCATGAGATTAAGATCGGAAATACAATGACATTTGACATGAAACACGAACATTTTTCTATGTTTTTAAATTGGCTAAGATTCATCAATTGGAGGGAAAAAAATGATGATTTTGACACCGATATTTTCTACGACAGAACAAAATTTTCTCATTTCAAATATCTCAAATATAATATAAAATTAAGTTAAATTTAGTGCGTCCTTCAATCAGCGAATAAACGAAATGAAATAGACGAGTGAGTTAGACATACATGTGGACACAAAGAGAGAATAAAAGCAAAACTAGATGGATATTACCAGTAACTTAGTCATTTTTTGGGTTGGCAGGTACAAATAGACACGTACGATGTCGTAAACCAGTATTTTTTCTGACAATAATTAAAAACTTGTAAATGTGCCAACCCAGGTCATTTTATTTTTTTATAATTTGGAAGGGTCTTCAAGTCACCTCACCATTGTTCTATCATAATAATATTAAGTCTCTATCCCATTTTGTGTAAAAATATAGCACAGAGAATGGAAATGAATGAAACGAAACTCAATCCCGTGTCCAATAAAGTCACTACATAAATGAATTAATTCGACTACAGCTCATAGCTGGCTGCGTTGATTAATTCACATTTTCAAATCAAATTTGGTGCTTTGTTCGAAATAATCCTAGAGGCTTTCTACTATTCATGAATGGCAGTTTATTCGCATAATATAAACTTTTCCTATTCATACGTAAATCATACGAAATAAAGTATATTCATTAGCATCAACATCTATGAAAATTCGTATATTTCATTCGAAACCATTCGCGAATGCCGCATACTGTTTGCGAGATGCGACATATTAATATATACATAAACATTCCTGTGTTTAGTTTGTATGCGTGATTATTTGCTTCCATTCGCAAAATATGTATAAATCATTCGCTCGCAAATGCAACATTCGTATAAGTCGAAACCCCCTATGAACAATCAAAACATCCCAAACTAGCCGGCATATATTTTTTCACGCGTGACTTTTTGCTCTGATTTACATACGTTGCCACGGGTTGCTGGTGAGATTCGTTAAGGCATTTACAATCTCAGCATCTCTGAGTCAGCGCCACATACATTTTAAATAAGTCACCATGTGGTACCCATTTAAATAAAGAATAAACCAATTGGAACGTTAGATCTGTTTTTTTCTTCTTAGAGTTGCCGATTAATCACATTTATACGAATACATTATTATCAGCACCCACATTTTCAATGTGGATCACGCGAACTGCTATCGTATAACCAGAAAAATAAACAAAAAACATGATTTCTATTATAATACAGCTTCGAATGTACCAAGGTCTGAAATTTATATAAGAAAAAATGAGACTTTGTTTCGTATTTGTTTTATCTTTTCTCCCAGTTGTTTTTCTTTTAACAGAAATTGAACGTTTTTCTGCTATTATTTTGCTACAACAATTAAAAGCGTTTGTTTGTTCATCTATTTGGCTCATTGCTAGACAATCTACTTTTCCGCACAACACCCAGGGGAAAGAATTTTTTTTACTTGTTTGAAATTGAATGAATTTCGGTAGTGTGTCAGCTGAGCATGATGCTCTTCCGTTCAACCTTGAAATAAATTTCGCATATTATAATGGAGATAAAAAATCACACACCCAAACATAGAAACTCATTCGAAATACATGAACAATGTCGTCATATAAATCTAGTCTTCTACAATACAACAAAATAATCGTTTAATTTATACTATAGACATTTATTACCGCGAGTCATGAATTACGCATAATCAAAAGAAAACACTGATACAATTCAATCAGTTCTATTCAATTGGTCTAAAATTGTTGTTACAATTTCTCTTATCTAACGATCAAACAGTTTTGTGATAACTACAATACTATTTGATTGAAAACATTCCAATCGACTTTGTAAAAATAATAAATATTAATAGAAAATGGGCCGCCTTTTTATTGGTTGTAAATAACAATAGGCTTTTACTTAAATTGGTATGTGTCAATAGAAAATAGCCAATTGTTCGAAAAATTATTATGATCGGTATGCGGTGCCGAAATGACATGTTATACTCGTGAATGGAAGCGGTCGCCTAAAATGATACAAACTAAGAATTAAGCGAATATAAAAGAGTGGCTGTTGTCATGGAAAATACCTCTTTTCGCTAAATATAAAGCCTCGTCAACCGAAATTACTTCTTTAACATTTACCCTATACGCGAATAGATAACAAAATATGTGCGCAAAAATTCAGGTAACCACTGATCTTAATTCTCCTAATCAAGCTTTTAATAAAAAAAATCGTTTTTTGAGAATTTATTGCCACTTCAAAGACCAAACGAGTCATTCAGACCAATTCACCGGTTGTATAAAAGAACATTTCCATTGAAAACTTTAAAAGCATTTAAAAAAAGTTTTAGTTTTTTTAATGACTCACTAATTTTTAACAACGTGTTTTTATGAAGAAACCACAAATGATAACTCGTTAAGGTAAAATTTGAACCAAAAAATTCGCCACAGATAACCGGTTCCATTCACTATACGTGGATCACTGAACACATCTGATTTTCAATTAAAATGTATTGTCAACGAATTTCGTGAACGAAATGTGATACTTATCTGAGCAATTGAAGGAAAATGTCACTTTTTATGTGAAGTAAAAAAAAACATGAGTTGTATTGTTCAAAAATTGATCAACTGGAGCATGTCGATAAACGATGAGAGTGATTGCGTTGACTTTGTAATTCAAAATAGATATTTTTACGTGACTTGGTATTTTATGGACTATATTTTGAAATATAATTGCTTGAAATATCGATTGTATTGTCCAATTGACGTCGGTTGTGATTCACGTTGTCTCGAACTCTTTCTATCGTTTATAGAATCGCCGGTCAAATTGGGAGTGGATTCTTATGTCTCCCTAGCTCTTTCTTCCCCTATCTCTCTCTCTCTCCCTCTTGTTCTTGCTCCCGCTTTCTCTTTTCTTTCTTTCAATCTTTCTGTCTCTATTTCGCTCTCTTTTTTCATTTTTTCTGTCCTTTTCTCTCTTCCTCTCCCTCGCACCTGTTCTCTATCTCACATTTGTTGACAGTGTAAATTAAAAATTCATATTTTTTTTCAATGGAAAATGCTTTGATATCATCGAAACATAATTTAATATTCCCCGATCGATTTCCGTACATTCATGCTCGAATGGCCACTACAATAAATATTTCAAATAAAATTCCAAAAACACCACTTTATACCACTAATTGAAGCTATCATATACATTTCCAACCATTTGTTTCACTGTTTGTTTTTTAACGTACTCATAAAAAACCAGTTATATCAGTCGAAATTGAAATGTTCTACAAATAACATTTTTTTTATTTCAATGGAAATGATATAGACAGGCATATTGAATTACTCAATTTGCGTACGCACATTCACAATGGAATTGTGGATTAAATGTTTGATTTGCTTAACGAACTCGATTGCATAATAAAAAAAAACTTGTCTTACTCGCATGGATGGCTTTGTAAATTGTACACTTTTTTTTACTTTTACTTTTTTTCCAACGAAATTATTTCCTCTTTAAATTGAATTTTTGCCTTCAATTGAAATGACACAGGACAGGACACACTGAATATTTCACTCAATATCAATCGTCCAGAATCTTTTAAAAAAAAGTTTTTTTTTTCAAATCGATCGCGGTAAGCACTGAGTGTCAATCAAAGTCGTCGTATGTCGATTGTCGGTTTAAATTGTTATTTTAACATTAGTAAGCGTTGAATATTGCCATATACGTGATTTACATACAACCGCGATCGGACTCTATTGTTTTGCTGGCAATATGCCAATTGATTAGTTAATACGTGTTTGTCACTACACGTCTTGCGTGCAACTGAGCTCGCGAGCTCATTTATGCTATTTAGAATCCATGCATCGAATACGGCACGTCGTACGCCAAATACACAGCATAAACGCAAACTATATTTTCTAATTAGAAAAAACCAAATGGATAAGAGCGAGTTTTAAGTAGGGTTTGAAAGGAGAATTAATCATAAGCACGCAACGGTAGTTTTCAAAAGGCAAAAAGCAAATAAATTTGTTTGAAAAAGTGTGCAGATAACCTTTGGCACAATACGGAAGCTATTACGGCTCATTGATTCGTGTATTTTGACCATAAAATATTCATGCCAACAAATTGTATAACTCGTGATAAGAGATGAACCATTCATCGTGCAACAAAAAAATGACAATTTTTTTTGCAATTGTGATACATTAAATTGGCTGGAAAGATAATTATTATCAAAAACATTCAACTTTTCTCATGCTTGTTTTGTTTAGTGATTTGTTTGTTTTGAATTCCATTCGATTTAACTAAATGAAATTTTTAAACGAAAGTCGTTGGTGTATACAATGCCGTGTCATTTGTATGCAAATTACTTTTTCGGTCACATTGAACTTTGATTTCTGAATGACGGTATCAGATACTTTTAAATTTGGGATATTGAAACGTATATTCATTACTATGACGATGCTTTGAATTTCATTTAACGTAAATTTTATTATCACGATGCAGACCGCCCAATCGCCGAGCGTTTGCTATAAATATACATTGCGTGACGCAGCGACGAACCACACATGTGATCGATGAACGTAAATATTGCGAGTGTCTGGTGCTGGTTTTTGTCGACTGTGCAAATGATGATTGCAGCCGAATGCCTGAAGGGAAACATGTCTTGGTATTGAAAAGAGAAAGAACGCGTATGTGTCGCTGTATCATCCGTCACTTATTGCATATGGTTTCGCGGTTTTTTTTTGCGTCTGTGCTTGATTCTTTCTTCGCAACGCATATCAAAAAATATATTTGCCACACAAATTGCGTGAAATTGGAACTATAAATGAACTAAGCGATGCTTTTCATTAAAATATCTAGCGAATAAATGTACCGAATTTTGATCTGAATTAAACTAAATTTGTTTTACTCTCCCTAGTGAATTCACTCTCTCTCTCTCTCCCTCTCACAGAGGTATTAAGCTGGAATGCAGAATAAAAGACAATTTTTATCGTACAATGCTGAACTTTTTATAGTGTCGTCAGTTTTCTCCAGAATTTAATGACGGGCTTACGACTTTTTATGGAGATTTTTTTTCTTTTTATTTTATTCTGATTACTTTTCGTAACTTATTTGTGTTCGTTTGTTTCCTTGCATTTTTTTCACTCAAACATTCGAGGCCTCTGTACATATATTATAACGTTGTATTCTGTAAATTCATATTGACATGTAATCTTGAGAAATTGGAGTCATTGACCTATTTGTCAAGAAATATCTGTAAATTAGTAATGATCTGAGGATTGTTCACAATTTTTTTTTTGACAATTTTCTTTTTTTTACAATTTTTTTCGTACGTTTGCCTCTTTTAACAGTTTTTCAATTTTTTTTCTCATCTTTTTTCTCATTCGTCTATTTTTAACCAATTTGAAAAAGAATACCGATTTCACGCCGTCAAAAAAATGAACACATTGGACCCTTTTATTTGTAAAATCTTCCTCTTATTTGAAAAAAATCACACGCATTTTTCATTCATAAATTGTCACAATCTCAAAAAATTTTACCATTTTTTACATGGTGATTATAAAAATCAGGCGCAATTTACTGCAAAAAAGTGTTAATATTAGACATCAGTGGGCCTTGATGTAGAATCAATAAGATAACATTGAGTTGGATTTTGAGCCAAATATTTTTCTGTCTGTTTGTCTGCAATCTGTTTTTGCCTCTAATTGAGTATCATGGCAATACCAAACAGAGATTCATTCGTTATGTATTAATTAAGCCGTGAACTTGACTCTTAGTGCACTGGTATAATTTTTGTTTCAAGCCACCATAAAATCATAATAAATGGGTCATCTAACAAACTTGACTTGCAATTCATTCTCTTATATAATGAAATAAATACTAATTGGATAATCACGAGATAAAAACTCACAATTGTTCTGAATGTGCACGAGAGCGAAAAAAGCACTTCGATGAAAAACAAAAAAAAATATCGTTTGTAATGTCGTTTAATGTTTGGTTAAAGTAGGTGTGTGTGCTTGGATGCCGGAAAATACTATGCGGTCTCATCTCTTTTTTTACATCTCTTTTGGCTGTTTATTCGCAGTGCGGCCGCAAGGAGATTTTGCATTGAACACTCACACATGCAAACAAACAGCATATGCGCAATGCGCTCGACAGTGCCGAACACCGCAAAAAAAGAGCAACACATTTGAATATTGAACGGATGGCTATGTTTTTAGACTAAGAACCTTAAAACGGTTTCAAAGAATTGAAATAAAAAAAATTGAATGAAAAAAAGGGGTGATAATGGTTTTCGGTTAGACGAAAATCATATGATCTATCTGAAAAATATGCTGTTGTTATCAAAGAAAGAGACGACAATGGGTGGTGTTTCGATCGAAATAATGCATGTGTTCAGCTGTCATTGTGTTTGACAGTTCGCCTCGATTAGACAAAATCTGTCAAAGTCACACACATCGCCTATCAATTTTACGTGGTGTTTGCAGTAGAGTGACAAGCAATAATTTATTTTCACGCATTTTTTTCTCCAAAAACTAAATGAATTAAAGTTTTATTATTCAGTGATTTGGTGGCCGCAGATAAAAACATGTGGCAAAAAATGCAATTAAAACGGTCCAAAGACATTTATTTATCGTTTGCATTGATTTTGTTCACAATTTTCAATGTATTATCGCTAGGTGAATGCTTGTACGAAGACCAAGTTGGAAAATTTGATTGGTAATCGATATTTTATTATCTATTTCTCCACACAATCATTTAAAATATTAATTTTTCAAATCGAAAAAAATGTTGTGTACCAAAATAGGAATCGACGATATGTTGGTAAAGTTATTGGTGGTTTTTACGATGAAATTTTGGGCCATTTATTGGTTGGTACTGAAGAAAACGTGATTGCTTCATTGAATATTGATAACGGTGATATTATATGGCGTCGTGTACTCGAAAAAAATGACCGTGGTTCCATTCAATTTGTATCGATTTTATACGAAGACTTTTCCCCACCGAGTAATGGTCGCCGGATAACCGGACCGGAGGAGGATAAAGATCGATGGATGGTCGCTGTGACGGGCACAAGTTATATTTTAGTACGTGTTTGGAATACACGAACCGGTAATTTGGGACGGGAATGGAGTCTTACACCAGAACAACCAGCTGATGAGGATTCACATTGGTTTGTTGTTAATTCCAAAATTTATCATGTTCGTCCAACGTGGAAGAAATCCAGCATTGAAGTCACCGGATACAATTTGAAGACCGGATTTTTGGAAGTCTCAGAACCGATGATTTTAATCGAAACAAATCGCAAGGAAGACTGCGTTTTTGTTGATTCATTTATGGTTTGTGTGTATGGCGATGAAATTGCTGTCACCGAATTGATCAATTTTCAGAAGAAAGTACTCGTTAAGTCAAAGACATTACCGATTGTCGTTCCGGTGAGTTGATTGAAAATAGAACACTTTGATTGGGTGACATTTGTTTTTGGATATTGAGTTTTATTTGGATTTTTTGTCAAAAAAAAACGACCAAATCGGACCAATTCACAAAAAATGCCAATTTCTCCCATTTAGATCCAGTCTTGTCGCTATTTTGACCTGTCATTTATATATTTTCAATTGCTTTCTCTTCAAAATCAGGGTTTCGAAGCGGCTGTACAAATTGACGACAAAATCTACAATTTGAAAACAGATGCTGTACTGCCGGGTGGTAAAGGAACAATTAAATTCTTCACCAAAAATCGCAGCTCATATGGACCACTTTTGGTTGATGCATCCATCCAGGATTCGGTAAGATTTTCAAATTGGCCTTATTTTCAGACATTTTTATATAGACCAGTACCACTTTTGCACCATAAAATGGCCCGCACTTTTTCCCTATAATTCTTAAAGTACCAGGCTGAACAGCAACAAAAAAGTGCCTGCCACCATTGGCAGTACAGCTTTGACTGTGCGAACGGAGCAAAAGCATACCCGTCCCTATGTAATTGAAAATGTATCTTTGCTGTTTCTTTCAGAATATCAACGTAAAGGTAACAAATGCCGAGAATGCCGAATCGTTGTTGTCATTTTCTGCCAACTATCCAGCCCACTTGGACAATCCACGTATCATTGATACTATTTGTAAGGAAAACAAAAAAGGAGACTTTGTGTGTCGTTTCATTCTTGCCACTGACAACGCTGCCATCGTTCTAATTCAATCGGGTATTTTATTTATGAATTTAATCGTATTCAATAGTGGATATGTTGTATACTTTACTCTTTCAATTCTTCACATATTTTGCTCTCGACGAGTGATAATTTTGTGAACCAATTTAATTAATTTCCAATCTATTTATTTCATACCAGGCAAAGTCAAGTGGATCCGCGAAGAATCAATGTCCGACATTGCTGCCATAGAGATGATCGATCTACCGTTGGCCGACAGCGAAGGTGCCATTGAAAAACAATTGAAGAGTGACAATGGTAAGTTAATTCGTCAAAATTCGATAACACTTGTGTCAGTGTCATTCATGTATTATAAATTTTTCTCTTGAATATATTTCACATTTTTCGTCCCGTTTCTTATGCAAATTGTCTCATGATATATAGACGAGAAGGCCGTCGATTGTAAGTTATTGAGCGTGACTCACTATTGTGTGATGTGTGTTTTCATTTTGTTTTTGCATCATTTTCGATTTATCGACTGCTGTCAGCGTTGATATTGTTGTTGTTGGTTTTGTGTCTTTTCGTTTTCTTGCATGCACTCTCGATTTTGTTTTGACTTTTTTTTAAATTTTTGATAAAAAAATATTGAAGTATTTTTCCGCATTCTTTTTCTTAAGAATTGATTTTTTTCCATATTAATTGAATAAATTTATTCAATTGCAGGGGATATTGTGGGCAATTTCATTCAGCGCGTCACCACTCAACTTAATCATGTACATCATGTGCTACGCAATGTATTCGATGTTATGAAATTGTATCAAATCGATCCAGTCACCGAGAAAGGCGAATTGACTCGTGATGCGTTCGGTTTACACACAATCATCGTTGCTGTTACCAACAAAGGAAAGGTAAATTTACTTGAGATGGTCTTGTCACAATTTTTGTGGCAATAAATCGATATTTTTTTCACCGTCATTTGAAAGTCATGTTCATTGGAAAATAGAAAATAGGGTGCACAATGGTGACCGTTAATCCATTCATAAATGGCGGCATAAATTGTGCATCACTCTCATGATTTTGTATGAGAGCTCTCATCATTAGTGAAGGAGAGGAGTTTGTAGAAATTTAAATTTCTACCCCTTTTTACGCTCATACAAAATCATGATAGACTATGGCAAGATTTTAACTAATCGAGAAATATTTTCCATAAAATTAAAAATATTTTTTTTCTTCAGTTATTTGGCATTGACAATATTTCGGGAAAACAACACTATGCGACAAATCTACCAAATTTTGTTGAATTTGCCAATGGTCAACCCATGAAAATTGTCGTACAAAGAACATCAAAACATTTTCCATATCCAGCCCGATGCACCATTTTGGGCAGACACAAAGTGAGTATTTTGTACACCGTAACTCGAAGTAACAACTCTGGCTGCTATTTACAGCTCCTTTTCACCAGGTGTATTTTATAAGAATGAATGAGAGTGGAATGCTCAACCCATCTATTTCTGTCTCATACAAAAATAGTGAGAGAACGATGGGTACTCCGCTGCATACACTTTCACCGGCTGTCAGTAAACAGCTGAGCAATTAGATGCTCTCAATAGCAGCATCTGGGTCTGATTTTACATGATTTTCGAACACCTTAAATTGTATTTCAAAACTTTTTCCCTTGTCCACTATTTTTGTATTTTATTCCATCGAATTGAATGGATCTAATTTAATTCTAAATTTTCAATATTTTCGAATTCTTTCAGGTCACCGGTAACGGAATGCTCTATCAGTTTAATCCAATCGATGGTAGTCCAATCAACGGCGGAATCATTGAGTTGAGCTATCAAATTCGTCAAGTGGCTGTATTGCAACCGGGTGCCGATTTCTTGCGTGGAATATTATTACTCGACAATTCCAATAATGTGCATGTGTTCCCAGAAAGCGCTGCTGAGACTGTACGTTACCGAAATTCCTTAAAATCACCCTTCCAAAATCATTTTTCATTGATCTTTCAAAATTATATATAAATTTCCAGGCACACGGAACCTATATTTACGTATCTGATGCAAACAGTGGTATTGTGACCGGTTACAATATCGTTTTGAAGGATAAACGTTTGGAGACGACGGAAACATGGCGCATTAATCTCGGTGGAATGGAACGATCTCAGAAAATCATACAAATTGCTTCGAAAAATCCCATTGAACATGTCCATTCACAGGGTCGCGTACTTGCCGATAGATCGGTTTTGTATAAGTACATAAATCCAAATCTAGTCGCCATTATCACACAAGGAAATGACAGTTTGTACAAATGTAGGCAATTTTTTTTATTCTATCAATTCATTTTGAATTTTGTAGATTTTCATGGATTTTTATTTATTTCTTGATTTAGATGTTGTAAATGTTCATTTGGTCGATGTTGTATCCGGTGGAATCGTAACTACAATCACACATCGTCGCATTAAGGGTCCAGTTAATATCGTACATTCCGAAAATTGGCTCGTCTACACATATTATAACGATAAACTTCGACGCACTGAATTGAGTAAGTTTTTTTTTTCTGCGTAACGAACTGATTTTATGTGGAAATAATGGGAGTTTGGGTTCTTATGCAGACTTTCTTTCTGTCAATCTCTCTTGAAAATTTCCCGCTTTCATCCACTTGCTTTGTCAAAAGAATTGACTTTACCTCTTCTATTATTTCCAGCTACCATTGAGCTATACGAAGGAAATACACAGGCCAACAAAACGGTTTGGACATCGTTCGGAACGCCGCCATTGCCAATAGTTGAGCAACAAGCTTACATCATTCCAGCGACCATTGTTTCGATGAAAGAAACCATCACCGAAAAGGGAATCACCAACAAACATGTGTTGAGTAAGTTTTTCACCACTCAATATGAATTGAATCGTGTTTGTTCAACCTTAAGGTACTGATTTTGAATTGTTTTTTGTGTATTCTAGTGGGATTGTCATCGGGAGCAATACTCGAAATGCCATGGCATCTTTTAGATCCACGTCGACCAATACTGAATACGAATCAACCGCGTGAAGAGGGAACAATTCCGTATATTCCAGAGTTACCGTTGTCAAGTGAAAGTGTAATCAATTACAATCAGTCAGTGGCACGAATCAAGGGCATCTACACTGCTCCCAGTGGTTTGGAGAGTACAAGTTTAGTCGTTGCCTATGGCTTAGGTGAGATTTTGACATCACATTTTTTTTCTGGAATAAATGGATTAAATTAAATTTGGCCTTTTTTCCTTTAGATTTCTTCTCTGTGAGAATATCGCCGTCGAGGTAAGTCTTTTTAGATCCAAAGAAATTGTTTCCATTCAAAACGCTCATAAATTTAATTGCACTTTGTCTTTTTCGTTCCAAAAAAATACAGAACATTTGATCTTCTGAAAGAAGACTTTGACTATTTAACACTAACCAGTGTGTTGATCGGATTGACAGCAGCTTCCTTCATCGTCAAACACATGTCAGCTAAGAAAACACTCAAGCAAGCATGGAAATAATTCGTCACATCAAATATGTTACCGAACGCACATTGTTGTGTGTTTTCAATAGAGTAAAAGTTTCATAAAAATTATAATTTAATTCGATCATTTCGTATTTATCAAATCGAAATTTTTAATTTAATTAGAGAGAAATAAGGCGGATCATGAAGAGTGCATGTTTACCAGTTTGATTTGTTTTAAAACGATCTTCATTTGTGAATGATGAGTATTAAAAGCCAACCAGAATAAATTCAAGAGAATAAATGAAACGAACCATGTTTTCGATGGAAATGTTGTATTTTATTTAATTATTCTTTTGTATTACAATATAATTTTGTTTT